TGTGTGTGTGTTTGCCTATCCCCTTCCCTATTTCACAATGAAAAAGTTTGATGACCCTGGTTTAAGAGCCACTGGCTACAAAGTTGTCAACATGTTACCTCAAATAAGCACCACCCAGAAATGAAAGTGTTACAAAGTGGCTCTTATTTGAGGGTTTTTACGGTATTACCTGAGAAGTTGAGATTGGAATTCAAAATCTAACTTACATCATGCCAGCACACATCCAGTACAGGTCCAGTGTGAGTTTGTTGAGCTTTTGGGATGGTCTGTCCAGTTGTCTGAATCTCCCAACAACGCACCTACAAAATTTAAATACAAGTAAAATAATTCTTGTTTGTGCCTTTAAAAGTCACCAACAGCCAAACAAAAGTTTATTTTTTTTTAATACTTCATTCTCCAGCAGTCATCAAGCATTAAACTTGATTGTCAAGAGTTCATTACGACATAAGATCTCCAAGTTCTGTTACAGGGCATACTCAGTTGGACAGTATCGATATTTGTAATCAATCGTATTAATTCAATCGGATAGTATCAATATCTTAACTACATTCAATTTCAGATTGTGTTTGTATAGTCAATTTAATTTTTTATTTTCTCTAGTTGATTATTATTTTTTTTGAGGGTCATAGAGTAAAAACTAGAAAACTTACTATGTTACCCTTGTTAAATAATTTATTATTATTGTTATGCTCTATTAATATACTTACATCATTGGCCCATGACCCAGCAATGAGAAAAGTTGATGGAATAGACATGGGACTGAATTCTAAACAGCTAATACTGTCATCTGGGGGTGATGCTACCTCAATGTCTTTCATAGGGTTGTGATCGGCTGAGGCAGTCTGTCCAAACACGGAACTTGATGTACCAAACCCTCCTCCGGTATTGCCAAATAAACTCATTTTGATTTAAAGTCTGCAAGAAATATTATTGCATGTTTATTAATTTGGTATGACAAAATATAGTTATTATAAATTGTCAAAATAGTGTTTAAGCAAGTTCAGAATAAATTCTGAAACCAATACAGCACTGGAGAGCCCCTTATTTGTTTGAAATTTTTTCATATTTTTTTTTTTATTGAACCCTAATTTTGGAGCCAACAGACAAAATCTGGGTCAATTTTCAGTTTTTACTCAAAAAATTTGTTGATTTTTGTCTCAATCTTCTGAAAGAAAGTGCAGACTATAAATGGGACTATTTTGTGAATTTGTGATGAAAAGAGGGACCCGGTGGTGAAAAGGTTTAGATATACATTTGTATAATACATGTATAATCATTATGAGGAATTAACCATTGATGGAATTAACTGTCCAGCAGACATTTTTTCAAAAACAAAAATATAATCCCAAAATTTTAAGATGTTATGAACCATTTCTTAGGAATGCTGTAGTATATATAATATGAACCACACATCCATGATGGGTTACACCGAAGCATGTCAATTATTAATGTGATTTAATTAAAAATAGTCGACTGGCAGCCGGGTTATTTTCATTTTCATTGGCCTACCATCAAAAAAATTTAAACATGTTATCAAATGTTATTTAAACAAGGTATATATCACATATGATTTACATTAATTTAATTAAATTTGTTTAATGGTAATCATCCCTGGTAAAAATGGATACATCTCAAGTTTGAGATGCATCATCAGGGGTCGAAATACTCTGGTGCACACTGCACTATGCACATAGATTATTACCTAGTGCTAGTAAACTCAAAATATAATGTACTCGCTGTACATGTAGAAATTAACACACATTTCCTCATTATATTCACTAAGCCTAAATTAAGTTTAACCAATATTGTAAGACAACTAAAAAAAAGCAATTTTTTTCGTGATCGCATCAATCGATAACCCGTAAATTTTATTTAAACTTTAAAAGTGGTGCATTCACAACAAGTTAGTGCAGGTAAATTTCAAATTCAACATGCACAATGTGCATGCAGGGAAAAAATTCTATTTCAATCCCTGATCATGGAAAAAACATCCACCACTAATGCACCAATCAGTGAGCACCGAGACACATGTTTGTCTTGTCAATCATGATTCACCTTGCAAAGTGGACTGGAAACTGATATGGTCATGTTATTAACATGAATGGACTCAAAAATTGGTCAAAATACACCTTTTTACCTTATTGAAACATCAATGAGTAGACAAATTTAAAATTATAAATCATGTTTGTGATAATATCAACATGATGAAGAATTAAATTCTCAAATAATTTTGCTGACTAGAAGATTTGGCATTTCTCCCGTCACTGCGTGAGAGCATTTCCGAAATGAACATATAACTGATGCAAAAATGACACTTGA